ATCGGGTTCATTTGTCAATTGCCCCTATAGGAAATAGGATTATCTAGCAATTTATTGATATCCTTGAACTTCATTAGTGTAACAATTTTCTACGTGGTTCTCCAGAAGAACATTTCGTTTTACTCTATTGTTGGTGACTTCTTTAAGCAATATGCATTTAAACAATTACATTCTGGAAACATTAGGGAAAATGGCTGGACAAGCTGTTTCAAATCAACCAACGTCATTATTTGACTTCGAGCTTGTTGAAGGTGAATCTGGTAACAGCAGTACTATCATTGCAACGTCTAACCAGATCAACCCATGGATCGACCCAGCAACAATTAAATTGAGGCACAGAATTGGAAGAGGGCCTTTTGGTGATGTATGGTTGGCTACTCGTCATAGCACGACTGAAGACTACGAGGAGTATCATGAAGTGGCTGTTAAGATGTTGCATCCCATTAAAGAAGATAACATTGGAGATGTCTTGAATAAGTTGAATAATTTTCTTTCCAAGTGTCGAGGGTTAGAAAACATTTGTTGGCTGCATGGACTTTCCATTATTAGTAAGAAAGTGGGTTCTGTTCGAACTTTTGTTTTTAATGTTTAATATTTTATTAGGTTACCAAATATCTCAAGTAAGGGAAAAAGATGCGATAACTGGTCCATGTTTGTTTCTTCTAGATTTGCATTGTTATGAAATTTTACGAGGGCTCGATTGGTGATAAAATGGCTCGATACAAAGGGGGGAAATTGCCACTGAGTGATGTTTTGAGGTGATTTTGGCTCATCTTGTATATTGTGGACTTCATTTTAGTAAAAAGATTTCGTTGCATTAGAAGCACACATTCTTTAATTATGGTTTTCTACAGGTACGGAGCAGAGCTGGCTCAAGGAGTAATGGATCTGCATGCAAAAGACGTCCTTATGCTCAACCTTAAACCTTTTAATTTCCTTTTGAACGAGAATGACAGGGCAATCCTTGGGGACATTGGAATTCCTTATGTGTTTCTTGGGGTTTCATTAGCAAATACAGAGATGACTCGAAGACTTGGTACTCCCAACTACATGGCTCCAGAACAATGGGAACCAGAAATAAGAGGTCCAATATCATTCGAGACTGATTCGTGGGGATTTGGTTGCAGCATTGTGGAGATGTTGACTGGCATTCTTCCTTGGAGTGGTAAATCTGTCGATGAAATGTACAAGTTGGTTGTAAAGAAGCAAGAAAAGCCACATATTCCTAGTGGCCTCCCTCCAGCCATCGAAAATGTCCTTATTGGTTGTTTCGAGTACGACTTCAGGAGTCGCCCTATAATGGCAGACATATTACATGCATTTAAGAGGTATATCAATTTATTTTTTTGCGTTGTTGATAAATTTTTTATTTTACTGAAATTGTGAAGAGGGGGATCTAAAGCACTTGCGCACTCAAATGCAGTATGGGAACATATTTGTAAATCTTTTTATACGAGTACTTTTTAAAGCATGCACATTTTACTAACTGTGGTTCTCGATAAGGATCTTTTGATTTCATGTGTAAATACTAGTGGCATTCCCCTTGAGCAATGTGCTGCATCTGCCTCAAGGGGTTCAAATGACAAGTCCGTTTCACCTACCTAGTGGTATTATGAAAAAATTTTATTCTCTGTCCTTGATTGGTCCTTGATTGATCTGAGTAGAAGGAAGGGATCCATGTAGCTGACTCCAAATAATTATGAGATAATGTTTTATTGAGATTGACATCATGTGGAAATGATTATCTACTCTGAATTTGTTTATTTATCCAAATTAAAGGATCCACGTAAGTTATTTAGAAACAATGTGTATAATCACGAGGCGTACCATTGCAATTCCTTATTTAGGAGCACATTTGCTCTTCTTCTGCGGTAGGTTCCTGATACTGGAGTATTTTAGCATTCTTTTGGAAGGGTTTTGGGCTTGAAGAATGCATTTATTTTTAGCCTACTTTTACTATGTTTGCAGTTCACAAAATGCAGTTTACCAGGATGGAGGCTGGACAGGTCCTGGAAGTAGAATGATTAGGGAGAAGCCAGGTGGCAGTGGCTATACTGAGTGGTTCCTTGCAAAGGACCACCTCCAAGTGAGCGACATGGTGCGATCTAGAAAGTCACCGGGCTCTTGCAACCCTGAAAACATGGATGTCCCGGAGGGGACTGTAGTTGGTCTGGAACGTGATACTGATCAGGATGGATTTGTTTTAGTAAGGGTACATGGAATTCACGATCCGATAAGAGTTCATGTTTCCACATTAGAGCGTGTCACATTTGGATTGGCTGCGGGAGATTGGGTTCGTCTGAAGACAGAAGACAGAAAGCATTCATCTGTGGGCGTCGTTCATTCGATCACCCGTGATGGAACGGTCGCAGTTGCATTTATAGGACTGGAGACTCTTTGGAAGGGCAGCTACTCAGAGTTCCAGATGGCAAAACCTTACTGTGTAGGGCAGTTCATAAGGCTGAAATCAAACGTATTTAGCCCTCGATTTGACTGGCCTCGAAAAAAAGTTGGGGAGTGGGCAACTGGAAAAATTTGTCAGGTGCTGCCAAACGGCTGCCTTGTTGTCAAGTTCCCAGGCAGATTAACATTTAGCGATGAAAACAGCAGCTTCTTGGCTGATCCAGCTGAAGTGGAACTAGTATCGTTCAACACTTGCCCTGGAATGGTGAAGAAGTATCAACATCTCGAGGATTTTCACTGGGCTGTCAGGCCACTATTGATCGCATTGGGCCTATTTACGTCGATGAAGTTTGGCCTTTTCGTTGGGAGGAAAATTGGGAGATCAAAGAATAAAAAGGGACAAAATTATGCCATCCAAAATGGTCAAAACGCAGATGGCTCGACTGCTGGCAACACTGCGTGGCGTCCTCCAAAAGTGACAAATATTTTCAGATAAGGTTTTCTTGCCCAGGTAACTCCAGTTATGTAATGCTTGTAGACTTAAATGTAATTCCTGCTAAAGATCAAGACGCTTCTCTCAAGCTGGAAAAAAACCAGGACTCTTTATCTTAGGTATTGTTTCAGGACTCTTTATCTTAGGTATTGTTTCAGGACTCTTTATCTTAGGTATTGTTTCAGGTACTCAAGTCAGGGAGCTTGTTACTGCAAATAGATGGTTCTTTGTTTTATGAATATACTGTGTATTTCATGTATATGTTCAATTATCTGCACTTTGTTTGGCTGTTGGATCATAGTTTCTTGGCTTCACATTTATGGAATATAGTATTTATCATATCATCTGCGTGTTCTGTAGCTTTAACACAGCAGGAATTTTTTCCCCCTGGAAATGTGGTGGTGAAGTTCAAACTGAGCTTTGTACCTGTCCGCCTTGTTCTACAAAGAATGTCTATGGATTACTGGTCGAATCGCAATGTTTGTGAACATTCTCGACAACAGCCAACTTGGCTTTTATTATTGATGTCGAACTACATGAATTCATTTTAGTCATCTTGTTCGATTGATGAAAATAATTTAAGAAAGCAAGGAAATTGCTTTTTATTTACCAACATCTATAATTAAACTAAGTTCGTGCTCATAAGAAATTTTCAATTTATTTTGCTATTCGAAAGTGATCTAATCTCTAAGTCTACAACAAATTGTATGAATTAGTGTGGGAAATTATTATTCTACCCACAGAGGACGGTAGATCAAGACTGACCAATGCGCTTGTCAGAATAGTTGCGGTCTCTATTCGTTGTTCTCTTCTTGTTTTGGAAATTTTGTCCAAGATTAATACGAATAGAACATTTGAAGGACTTAAATTGGATTTTTTTTTTTTTTTTTGCTAAATAAGATTTTTTATTTAAAAATTTTAATATATATAAATTTTGGTGTTACGAAATTGAGCTTGACACGAACATGTCGAAGCGAACTGATTGTGTTGAGGGTCTATACAATCTAACCCACACCACCAATATAAAGAGAAAATTTGGATTAGAATCATTAAGTCCTTGTTTGATTCCCTTTTTCCATCACAATTTAATTTTTTCTACCGTGCTTGTGGGTTCGATTATCACACCATACAATCATTTCACATCACTTTCATTTGTCCCGCTAGCCCTTTTTTATTGGTATTTTGATTTGTTCCAAAATTGCCCTATGTTGCAATTGCCATGAGCATAGAGGAAAAACAGGGGTAAAGTAGTAAATTGGTAGTATTTCATTGAGGGCAAGAATGGGAAATTGAAATTTCAATGGGTGGTTGTGCATTATTTCAATTTATGGCGTCACTTTCATTTTAAAATAATACAGGGAAATTTACAAAAATGGCTAATTCCAGAGCGTCAATTAAAAAGTATCTAATTTTAATAACTTTTACAAAAATGGTCAAATTCAGTATTAAATTATCTATTAGACTCTTAATGAAAAATGAAGCATGTTTTTTCAATTTGTCACGAATCTCGAGAAGAATAAACAACTTCCATGAGAAGTTACATTAAAATGACGTTTTCGATTTTTTAAAATTTGTTATCGATATTTGAACCGTATTTTCTTAATACTTCAATATCTAAAACGAGATTTCATTCCAAATAGGAGGGTTCTCTACGTTTCATAAAGTTCTTGACATTTGAAATGTATTTCTCAATATTGTATACCCTTGTCAATGAGAAATGTGTTTGTCTCCCATTATTGTAGAAGAAATGGAGTAATGAATAATATTTTTTGGAGAATGTATGGTTGAAATTTAAAGTAACTTTATTGGTCTGTGTGTGAAATATTTTATTGGGTGAATGTGTAGTGGAGAATCTTACCGTAGCAAATAATGTTTTGGAATAATGAGAGACAAACGGGGCCATAGTCTTTATTGTTATTTGATATGTTTACTTTTTAAATAAGCAGGGTGGCTTATGTGTCAAAATTTTCTTGGTCACCAAAATATTTAATTGTATGCACTTTTCAACTCTCTACAACAAAGATTCATTTTTCACATTCATTTTATGGAGATTGGTACAGTAAATATAGACCTGCTAGATTTACAAAATTCACTACAATATTTATCAATTTGAAACTTCATTTTGTACATTTAGATCCGAAGGGGGTTCGCAATCACCTTTCTCATGCGATTTTTTCAATTTAAGAGCACAAAGAATAATGGAATTCACCTGTTTTCTCAATAAACCATTGTCGACTAAGAAGGTCATTAGCGTCGCCCTCAGCTCTTCGTCTACTGAGCTCATGTTATAATCCAGATTCGTATCTCCATTAACAGTGGAAGATGAATAATCTGAATCCTCGGCTAAATGCTGCACCTAAAAAATTTACAGAGCAAGATAAGCAACTTGTGCTGGAGAGAGGTATCAAGAGAACAAAGATGAGAAAAAAGAACTTGTATTTTAGAGGATAAAATGGTTTGAGACAAGATCAATTGAAGAATCTCATACGGTATACAGCACAAATATTATACTTTCCTTCCATAACAAAGCAGAGAAACAGATCTTTCCTCAAATAGACACTTAGTGCATGTTTGGTACAGAGTATTAGAATGTACTCGACAATACAATTGATAAAATTTTAAACTTCTAACTTACTAAACACGCCACTATTATCTTTGGCTGTTGCCAAAAGAGAAATTTAAATCCAAACCCACCTTTTAATAATAAATATTGAATTCAACTATAAAAGATCAACTCATTCGTGACCAAAGGAGATAATAACGGTTCACGATAGAGGTACAGGCGCAACTTTCGGTTCAACTGTTTGCCCTTCCCTTCAGAAGTGTTGGCATTTCTTCTATGCCACATGCTCCAAAGAGTAGTAATGTCAAGCTTCACAATTCCCATTCTCTTAACCAAATACATATCAAATCATATTTTTCTAATGATACACAGAAAATATGAGGATTTTAATCTAAAAGATACATTAGGGTCAACGCGTGAGATATTGAGATAGCAATAACATAAATAATTGAAGAATTAACAGTGCAAGACTCCAGGAGTACCTCCTCAATTAGAAGGCCAATATGATTGTCAGATGCGGCTATAACATCCAAAGCATTTGACCCTAATGGATTATCCACGACTAGATTATCTTCTGTTTTATCTATTACGTTGACCTGGCATTCCTGTAGCTTATTGTGAAGAATCTTGCACTTGTGTACCAGCTTCCTCCAAGAGGTACTTGCTTGCTTAGCTCTCTCTCTCTCTCTTTGAAGGAGTTCCTGAACTTGCTCAAGTTTCAAAAAACGAGATTAGTTTTTCGAGTGACATACTCGTGCATATGTTTCGATGAATCCATTCAATAAAAATAAAGAAAATATCTGCACCCATGTATACACATTGATATAATAGAATTAATAATATGTCGAATAATGAGTCTTTGGTTATCGGGTCAATTTTATCTTTTCCCCTCAAAATGAGTTTTTACATTGTTGGCACAATTAACATGAGTTACGGTAATGATACAGGAACTATAATGAAAGATAGAAAAAAGTGTGTAACAATACAAGAAGCTCAGGAAGCAGAACGAATATTGCAACTCCAGCAGTTAAAAAATCTTCGACTCTGCAGAATTATGGTTAGACAGTCCACAAGAAGAATTCTATGCTTTAAAATAGCAGCTAAATTATACCTCGGCCCCAGATTTTTCATCAAGTGATTGACTAAGTAGCTGCTTCAATTCTACATGAGAACTTCTTAGAGATTTAACTTCTTTTACAAGAACTCTAATATCAGCTTTTGACTTCACTTCCAGTTCTTGATGTTGCTTCAACAATTCTTCAAGCTGTTGTTTGGTGGAATCCAAGTCCTGCTGCAATGCATCTTTCTCTTGATTGATGGATGCTTTAGTAGATACTGTACCTAGATTTTGGCCCTGGAAGGAGTTCCACATTGATCTGAAATCAATCGAACTGAAATAATACTACAATGATACAAGATTGGCATCAGATAACATGTGAATAAAAGCATATATAGAAAACCTGTTGAGAGTTCTTCAATTCCATTTCTATTGACCTCTGCCGAAGTTCTTCCATATCCCATTGCATTTGGGTAACTCTTTCCCTTTCAATCAAGATAGCTTGTTCTAGATTCTCTTTACTTTTTTGTTTAGTAGTTTCAAGGTCCACTTCCAAATCCTTCACCTGGAGAAATAGTTAAAGGGCCAGCCTCATATTTAGCTGCAACCAGAAGATGATGCGGAATCACACAGGCATTGGGCAGCAAATGTGTCATCGTAAGTAAAGGAAATTGTATTCTTCAAATCCATAAATGGGCTTACATCATTACTGAAAACAATATTTATAAATATTTATGTTGAATGCCAGTTAACAAATCTTTGAGCCAGACTGCACAGTCAGGTCCAGATTTAATATGTTTGACCCCGTTTAAATTATAATTTCAACTTCGCCAAACATGTTCTAAGAATGGTTACCACTAGATACCAAACATTTTTCAAATTTGATAAGTAAATCTTTATACCAAATGGGACAAAATACATGTACAGAATCAGTTTACTTACACAGAGTCATAAAATTTTACTAAATTTACTTATTATTTGGCTGAGATCCAAGAAATTACTGCCCAAAATATAACCAAAATTATGTGCTTATAATTTATTTTCCTTTTCCAGCCACAAAATGTTTGAGCTCAAGACTAAGCCCCTGTTTGGTTTTGATAAAAATCAGATTTTTTTGTAGATTTTGATAAAAATGGATGGAATGTGTGATTGAAAAGTTGTGGGTTCCATGAAATCTTTAGTCGAAAATGAATTTTGAAAAAAAAAAAAAAAAATTGAGTTTTAAGAAATGGGGGCCAAACAAGGGCTAAATCTTTACTTGCATGCAGCCAACTAATCTCTAAGTCTGCCTATCTTCCCCCCATGTGGGTCATCTTTCTGGAGCAGAATCATAGTTAAAGCTCACTCCTAGAACTGACTTCTTTGCCTTAGCACATTGTAGAAGAAGATAATTTAATTTGTCAACCAAGGAAAAGCAAAGCGCCATTACATTTTCCTTTCCCATGCCATACATCTACATTTTCTGCATTTTCAATTTGTGTTTCCTACACTTTCTTACGTTCTACACTAAAAGTTATCTCGTCATTTATTTGGGTCATTTCTTCACTTTCTTCTAATTCTTTTATTGGTTAAGATAAAATACTTTACATGATTTGCTTTGTTTTCCTTCACTTCAAGCTTTATGCACTCCAGAAATATATCAATTCTCTCGAGCATGAGTTTGAAACAACTATGAAATGAAATAGCACCAAGATAATAGTTATAGTGTTTCACTACCTTTGAAGTGAGATAGTCTTTCACGGCAATTTCTTGATTTAACCTTGATATGAGATCCTCCATGTCAGTTTTAGCTGCAACCAGCCTCCGTTGCATTAACATAACTACCCTGTTCATTTTCTGGCACTGATCAGTTGGGAGAACCAGTTGTACATCATCCGGAAGCTGAAAATCTGTATTTCCAAGAGTTCCATTGTTTCTCGAGGCCTCAGCCCCACTGTAATTGTCAACAGGCACATATCCATTTGAACTAGCAATTCCTAAATTCGACAATTCGCTGCCCCTCTGAGAGCTCCTGTCACTTCCAATACTCTCACTTGAGACTTTTCGAGCATGAAGACCTACTGTACCATGCTCTGGCTCTGAAAGAAGTTCCAACATATCCCCAGTATGATGAGAGATTTTAGAAGAACCACCATTGCTAGTATTGTTTACCACATTATTATGAATCTCTTTGGCATACAGTTTATGTTTCGGAAGACCTTCAAGTTGCTCTAAAATAGCATGTCCCATAGACAAACCCTCATCTATATTTGACACGCCATACTTAACAAACTTATCTATTGGACTTGTTAAGTCATCATCCAGTGATAGATCCTCTGTCCCAACTTCAGAATTATCCTTTCCAAGGTTTGGAGTTCCGATCTCAGATGTCTCATAAGCAGTATCACTACCATAATCTGATGTCAGTGAACTACCAGCTACCACAGACAAGCTCGAATTTGCATGAAACTGAAGTGATGGGACAGTAGAAGTCACTGTAATATTTGAATCTGGACTGTTCTGCCCATCATCTTGGAATGCTGAAAAAGACTCATAACAAGGAGATTTAGAACAGGACAAAATGAATGTCAATAAAATGATAGAACTCGAGATCAAGGTGTTAACTGAAGTCAGATGACCAATTTACATAATGTGGAATGATTTCTAGAGCAAAACATGAGCATTGCTAACACACATACATGATCTAGCAGAAGCTTCCAGTTCAAGGAAGGATGCAACTGCAGCACTTCTTGATAAGTCAATGTCTGATAGCAATCTTGCCATCCATTCCTCCAAAGAATTCCGTCTCTGCAACAGATGTAAGCCTTTTGATAACCTTAATTCTCAACAAAAATCCGAGAAGCAGAACTATGACTAACGGGTATGTAATCTCTATGCATCAGATGAAATGAAAAGTTCACCAATTGACAAAAGAAAGAAAATAAGCCAAATTGTAGTTCTCATAAGTTCCACTCAAGTTAATAATCTACAGGAATCAAATTGCACATCAACACAACTGTCGATGGCCATAACCAAGCTGACAGCGAGATCTAGTATAACTAAAGAAGCGTTAGACATAGAATTTTCCTTATCCATGTTCAGAAAAAACTTTTCTAAGAGAGATTACACCAGAAACTAAGTATAATAAGGTCTTTAATCTACAATAACATCAAATATGTATAGTGTCAAATAATCTTTTTACCTCTTCCAACATTGCTCTAGTTTTCATTCTCAAGAGTCCCTTTGGGGGGACTGGTGGAAGGTTCTTCCGTGGAAATGCTCTTTTAAGCTGTAAGAGAAAACTTTCATAAGACAATGAACATACATGCTCAGTCAACTCTAACGAACATATCAGTTTACATGTTTCCTTTCATATTGCATAAATGCAGAGTTAACGAAAAAAGATTGGGACACTTACTGCAGCATGCAGCTTCAAGAAATCATTAAATCTTCTTAATACAGTCCTTGTGGTTGTAATTCCCACCGGTGATTGTATGCCGACCACTACTCTGTAAAACTGCCACTTCAGAACATTAATATGGTGGAAACTACTTTATAAAGTAAAGTAAAACTACAGGAAGATAAGAGAAGGTTTATTAATAACTTAAAAGAATAGAAAAACGGATCCTCTCAGGGATAGCGTCAGGGACACTCATTATATGGTCAAAACAAAAGAGGGAAAAGACGAAATAATATTCACCCTCAAGTAAAAGAGATGCTAGAAAGCATCAACTCACAAAGTCTATAGAACTTAAATTACTACCGAAATGAACTTTCTCGGGAAATCATCGTACTCATTAATGAAACCACACTTAATCCAATATAAGATTCACAATTCAGCTCCAACTCTCCAGGCAAATATAAGTCCAAACCCGGAGTTCAGCACCAAACTGTATAAAACTCTTTACAAAAGACCATTTTTCCATCCAAGAATAAAAAACACATTATTAACAATTAAGACAATGAAACTAACAACAATGCAGAAGCCCCTTATACGTATACTCAGTACGTAATTCTTCAACTACTCTTGTCATTTAAGCATGCCATCTATTAGCTGTCCTCATGTCAGCTCATAAGAATAAAATAAGGGGAACATCACATAGCGCGATATACTTCAGAAAAAAATGATTGAACCAAGAAGTCAAATATTATCTCAGCTCCCAAATCCTGTTCACATATTGCAATTGGCATGCAATCAACCGCTAGATTATCTCACTTTAAGCTAGTAAAGTACATAAAGTAGTATATAAATAAGTATTTCAAACAGAGGCCTCCACTTGATACCCCGAAGTGAGTAGTCAAGAAAATTGTTTAATTTTTGCCTTGTTACTTTGCCAAATTAGAAATAAATATGGATCTAGATGGAAATCAAAGACAAAAGAAAAGAAGTGTAACTGACTGAGGATCAAAACTTCCAGGGACTCCAACTAAGGTACTGTGCATAAACACTTAAGGAAAAGCTCATTCTCCAGAGACCAGAACTGTACTTGAAGGTTAGAGCATATAGCCAATATGATGATATATTTTGCCACAAAAGCATTTAAATACATCTTGAAATGCAGATATAATCAAAACACCGAAAAATGCTCATTCTACAGAGACTGATATCATTTTTATCAAGTGTTCCATACTCAGAAATAAGGGCCATAATGCCTACAGTGGTATAAAGTGCCAATTGAGTAGCTAACATATACTGGAACCTACAATAGATAAAAGAAAATACATTCAATAAGATCAGGCTCACATGTACTCCATGCTTGAATATTGAAACAATTGGTTAGTGTGATATTAAGGGTTTGTTTGAGTTCCTTTTTGGGAGAATAAATTTGCAATAGCGATTTTTTTGGATAATGTGTGGTTAAAAAGTAAGGAAAAGTCTTTTGTTTACGGGTAAAATCATTTTATTAGGAAAATGTGTGGTTGAAAATGATTTGGAGAAAAATGAGTATTTAAAGAATGGGGTTCAAACAAGGGCTAAATGTTTCGCCATTGGTTTGCACTCAGTTACTGGTAGTTAAGAAAGTCATTACAAACTTAGTTTTCTGTGAAATTATGATTCCAATCATACAATAAAAAGAGAAGATGATGCCGTATCGCACTACAGATAATAAGAGGAACTTCTTACTGTTCACTTCCACATGTTCTCCATTCGGAAACAAAATACATAAGAACTGATTGATTAGTAATAGAAATAAATTCATAGACACTACTTCCATATTTAATTTTTCGAATTAATTCATGTATAATAAAAATAAGATTTAGGTGCCGAAACATGTTACTTAACATTCATAAACATTCACATTAAATGAACATTTAAATTACCACTATAGGGTCTGAATCTCTTGACTTTGCAAGGACGACCCAGGACGGTACTGTAACACAGTAACTCCAACCTGTGTGAGGATCATGAGGCCAAACAGTTTCCCTCCCTGCCTGTGAAGTATGTGTAAGATGTCAATACAAACAACGACCTTATTAGGAGTATTGTTTGCCAACAGGTAAAAGAATCCCAGCATTGAATAAAAATGAAGTTTGCTTACAAATGAATTAATAATTAACAGAGCAATTTAATTTTCAACTCAAGACAAATATTTGTCAAAAACTCAGTTAGTGATTAAGCAGCTGTGTCAGATTAAATAAGGATAAGGCATCAAAAAATTCGAATAACAACTAAGAACAATCACCAGAATTTAAGTATTAACAAGATAGCACCCCCAAAATTCTGAACTTGTAAATTCAGGACTCTACAACTTAATAATCAGAACTCGAGTTCTTAATTCTTAATCAGATTTTCTTGACCCAATTTGCAGTCAAATTCAGAATTTCCAAGTTAAATAGTGAACTCAATTATCAAGAATCAAAAAATCAGATTAAACTACCACAGAGCTAAAGACTGGAAATTTTTCAATCTAAGTGTCCATAGTACTTGAATAAGGATCATGCTCAAATATTTCACCTGAAATTGCAATACTTAATTGCTACTGTAAAAATCATTTTTCATTGACAATAAGTGGCATGAAAATTGAGGGTTTACACTTGTCAAGCTAAAACCTTGAAGATTAAAGAGCTGACCACGCAATATTAAATTATGGATCTAAGTACAAGTATGCTAAACATATCACAAAGTCCAATTTTATCGGAAGCCCAAATACATCCGATAGATCGATCGGCCATCAAATAAAAGCCAAATTCATTAAAATTCAAATGGAAACTTATCAATAAAGAACAAAAATTAATCAAAAAACATACCCAGTGACGAGGGGGATGGCTCCAATCCATACCCAGAGGCAAAGGCGAAGTCCCATCGTGCCTGTGCTGCGGTGAGCTCATCTCCCCACCGTTAGATGCTCTATACTTCTATTCAAAAACGATCACTGTCTTATCGATTAGTTCATTTACCTATGGAGATAAATCTGTACACACATATAAACAAAAAAAATATGTACAATTCAGTATGAATTTAGAGAGAGGGACATAAAGGGGCTCTTAAGGGATCGGTGCGTGAGCAGGTGGTGGCGCGTGGTAAAAAAGGGGCACCGGACCTGATTCCGTGATTTCTTTCTTTTGCTTGGCTTCAGCACCTACATTACAGAACTTCAGATTCCTCTTAAAGTCGTTTTGCGAATAAAAAGCGATTCTAAAATAGGATAAGCCGCATTAACCGGCCTCACCTGTCCTGTCATGTCCTGTCCTCTCCTGTCCTATCTTGTTATGGGCTTTGATAAAAAAGGTAAATCGTAAGTTATGCTTTCAAGTGTATATGGTAGAAAACTGCTTGTAGACTTGCACTTATCCAAGGACCAAATCCATATTTTAGGATTCGAACCATTGACGCGGCAACCTCAACCAAAATTCTAGCTCAAGAGTTGTGATGACTAGAGAACACATGGTAGGCAATGCACGGTCTTACCTAGTTGGTTTGAACCACTGGCCTATACTGTATTAGATTGGGCTCGTACAATAGTCGGTCATTCGATTGTAAATAATAGATCGAAATTTTCAGTACTTTCATAGTATAATATAGAGGAATTATGCTATTGGGCCGACTCAAAGCTAGGCCCAAAAATAGGCGCCGATGTGGCACCCTGCAATTGGAGGGCGATCAAATAGTTCGAATTGTTCGAGGGCTGAACTTCAATCATGGGTCTCTCGGACTTGTATTGAGACGAGCAATGAATCGAGCAGCTCGATTTTTTTTCAAGAGCCAGTTCATTGGTCACATAATGCGACCGTTTGGCCTAAGGTCACTTTTTCTGTATAAATGCCTTTACTCTTGTCATATTTTTCCACGTAACTCTACCTTCTTGTTTTACAATTTTTATAATCTCCATATTAGCTCTTTTATTGTGTAATTTTAAATTTTATTGTTTCTAAATTTACATATTTTAGTTATTTACAATTTTATTGTGTAATCTTAAATTTTATCTACGTCTTTCTTTCTTCTATTAGTCAATGTATTATTCTAAAGAAAAATGCTATTCATCCCCAATAGAGATGTATCCCCAATCTATGTGGATGTAAATGATATGTGAAATTAAATGACTTATTTAATTTCACATATCATTTAATGTCACATTAACGCCACATAGATTGTGGATGAATAGCATTTCTCTATTCCAAATTAATTATAGCATATTGTTGGAAACTTGTAACTTGTACAAAATCTTTGATGCTTCCAACAGTAAATGATGAAAATTGTAGTAATCAATAAAGGTGTGTTTTATTACAAGTGTGTAATTTGCACAGAAAGAAAATAAGTTCTAAGCATTGATTTGCATGAAAATTATTAATTAAATGTGTTTGACTGGTTTAATTTTCAACCTAAAAAATGTTACATTTGTCAATTTTTTTATTGGTAAGTAAATTAGAGAGGGAGTAGATGAGATAGAGAATTGTATGGGAAATAAAAATATACCCCTCTTAAAAGGAAAATGTTTTCCTTATTTTTGAGAAAAATATGGTCATGCAACCAATTTTTAGAAAATATTTTTCATTAAAAAAATGTAATCAAACATTTCAAAAGTAGGAATTTGGGTAGGAAAATGACATTTTTCACGAAAAATAAAGTCAATCAAACACACCATAACTGCAGTCTTTATCATAATCATCAATATATGCTTCTCGTGCTTTAACGGTAGAATTTTATGTATAGCACCTTGAGTCAGATTTTTGAGTCTTGAACAGATAAATATTTTAATATTTGACGTGTCATATGCAAGAGGTAAATCATGAACAATCAAATAAACAATCACGGTCAGTACATGCTTGGTGGCTGGTGGCAAGAAGAATAATAGCCTCAGTTAACAAAGTAGGAATAACATGGATGACTGATTTATCTTCATATGTCAAGCACAAGTAATTAAGATTGGGAGAGACAACATAGTAGTTTTGATGGACATAAGTACGAGCCATCAATGTAGCCGATTAGGCTCAGATAGTAGAAAATGGAGGCGATTGACCTTTTCGTGAAAAATAATTCGTAGACGTGAGCCAAATGGAAAGCTGTGAGGCTACATGGAATATGATATATGTATAGGATGTACTCAATGTGTCCGAGCGCGTCCCATCGATGTATTAGAAATGATACCTTGAAATGGATGTAAAGCTAAATGGATTGCTTCTTCCCCAAGGTAAGAGAGTGAATAGAGGATCCAAGAGTTGAGGGACACTGATAGGACTGGTTTCTATAGCAGTAGGCACTGAACTTCCAAATTTCGGAAAATAAGGGCATGTAGATTTCTTAGTGGATTATTACCGTCTCATATTTGAGAAATGTGAATTTCTGCTGGTATGGTGGAAAAAAAAAAAAATACATGACCGTGGCAGCTGCATTTGGCAGAGTTGGTTAATTAACAGTTTTTTGTAATGATGATTAATATTTAACTAATGTTTTTTTTTTTTTTTGATTAATGCATCTTAATTTAGTGATTTAAGAAGTCTGTATATTCCAGATGTCGTTTATTGAATTAAATATATTAAATGATTCTTTGAATCAACATGAACAGACCAACTATTACATGTCTCTCCATGTTTCCTCTCAAAATCCCAATTTCACTTACTACATTAATAAAATCACTTATATTTAATACCAGTTTAGATGGAATCACTCGTGTTATTAAATTATAAGTTCAATTAAATATAAGAGTTTATAACTCATTTATTATGACCTATCATATACACACAGACAGATAGACTAGTATTCTAGCACCACTGATTATAGATAACATTATTATTTTCAATATGTCCTATCTAACCATTAAATTTTCCACACATCCCCTCATCCAATCTCACTGACAAAACCTTAACCCTATTCGTACTTATATTTGTTCTTTGTACGAAAATAATTTACAATCTCGCCACACATAGAAATAGTTGATATTCTGTTTTATAATGTGGCACATACTTTTACCATTGATTTCTTCAATAATTAAAACAATCAATGATCTCAATTTTGCCACATATTCAAATGTCATCCAAGACTTGTACATAAAAATGTTGTATAAGGGATTACATAAAATAACGTGAAGGAAAAATATTATATGAAAAAGTTGATTGTATGCTAAACCAGCAAACGATAGAATGTCATGTACTTTATAGAATCAATTATGTAAATTTTTTATGTACATGTAGCAATATCCTTGTTTGGAATCTTCATAAATGTGGCCTTTTATGGTTGAGGGAAATCACTATTTTTTTGGGAAAAATTATAGCAGTGGTCCCTAATATTTTTAATTTTTGCAGATCTTACCCTAACATTTATTTTGTACTAGCGAATGTCTCTAACCTTTCATAAATATGTAGCTGAAGACCAATAGATGAATTTGTTAGTTGACTAAGGAAGTCAAAATTTGATTAATTTTGACCTAATCGAAAGGGATAAATGGTAATTTTAAAATTATCAAATTAAATAAATAAAAAACCAAAGGAAAAGAATTGTTTCTTCTTTACTCCCAGCCTATCTCCCACGGTTGAAAATCAGCCACCAACACCAGCCGCACCATCGCATGTTATATTCTTCCCCAACACCCATTTACGTCTACCCCAAACCAAATCGTCGCCACCAAATCCACAGCCACCATCACTTCTGCTACCATCTTCTCCCCATCAAATGAAACCTAAATAAAAAAATAAAAAATCAAAATCAATGAATCTACAGAAATCAGCATCTCTATAGTTGACACCACCGCCCAAACCATCGGATCTACACATCACAGAAAAGCTCTCATTCCCTTCTACACATCCCACCCAACTACCAGAATTCAAATTGGAAGAATTGTCGTGCAGAGTTGCCCCAGATTATCTCTCGACATCGCAGTCCGCCACATCAGGCTTTATATTAAGGAATGGAGGGGGTAGGGGCTAGGTTCGGGCGGTCCTCATCTAGGTACGACCCTACTAGTGCCACCGTCTTTACGGGGCCAATCCTAAGTGGAAGAAAAAGTGGATCAATGTGTCGCCCTCCAATTCCAACTAAATGGCAACAAATGGCATTGTTAATGGCAATAATGGCTCCTCCCACCTGTTGCTCTACAAGTGGATCCCGATTACGCACAGCCAAAAGAAAGACAATAATGATACTAACAGCGGCGATAATAGTAACGACAATGATGAATTTGATTTCTAGGTTTGATAGAGATTAATTTGATTTCTGGTTTCATATTGAATATTGTGGGTGTGAGTGGTGGTGAGTGGGAGTTATGGTGGCGGTGTGGGTAGGCGGCACTGACGCGATTTTCGGTAGGTCTCGTCGGAGAAAAAGAGACCTCATCAGATTTTGATTTGGGGGAGTGGGTGAGGTGGAGTGGGGTTATATATTTATTTTTATTTTTTGAGTTTTTTAAATTTAATTTTTTAACTTATTTAATATGATGAAAATGTAAAGTACCATTTTACCCCTTTTAATTAGGTTAAAATTAATCAAATTTTGACTTTCTTAGTCAACTAACTGCGAAATGAATGTTTTTCATCTATTTGGACTCCAGCTGCATTATGAAAGGTTAGAGACATTCGTTGGCAGAAAATGAAAGTTAGGGTAAAAGTTTGCAAAAATTGGCAAAGTTAGGGACTGTTGTTGCAATTTTTCCTTTATTTTTTTTCTTTTTTGTGAGAACAATAAACTCTAAATTTTAAACATTAATGCTTTGTAGTTTGTACCATGGATGAAATTAATGTTAACTTTTTTGTTGTATTTTTCATAAATGGCGTGTTTTTAATGTTTTTGAATCTTGTTTTATGTTTTCATTAGTGTATCTTTGAACAATATTTACGAGTGCTTCAACAAGATAATCTTAGAGGATCCGAAGAAATTTGTATTGACTATGTTGATAGAC